TGGTAGCGTATGCCTGTAATCCCAGCTACTCAGGAGGCTGAGGCAGGAGAATTGCCTGAACCCAGGAGGCGGAGGCTGCAGTGAGCCGAGATCGCGCCATTGCACTCCAGCCTGGGTAACAAGGGCGAAACTCCGTCCCAAAAAAAAAAAAATGGCTTGACTATGGCTATCCCTAGTAGTTTAAAAAAACAACTTAGAGTACTGTTTTTTGTTTTTGTTTGAGCTGGAATTTCACTCCTGTTACCCAGGCTGGAGTGTAATGGCACGATCTCGGCTCACCAAAACCTCTGCCTTCCGAGTTCAAGGGATTCTCCTGCCTCAGCCTCCCCGGTGGCTGGGATTACAGGCCAGCACCACCACACCTGGCTAATTTTGTATTTTTAGTAGAGGTGGGGTTTCTCCATGCTGGTCAGGCTGGTCTCAAACTCCTAACCTCAAGTGATCTGCCCGCCTCTGCCTCCCAAAGTGCTGGGATAACAGGTGTGCGCCATCGCGCCCAATCAGAGTACTGTTAAAGTAAAAAAATTGATTTATGAAAAGGAAAGTTCTTATAAATTTGCAGTTTTCAAAGTCAGTCTTTTTGTGCATATATTTTGCTGGAATTTTTTTACATTCATGTCATTTATTTCTAGTCTAAATGGATGAGCTAATTGCACTCCCACCTATAACATAAGGAAAGATTACTAGTCTACCTCCCTAATATAAGACCACTTAAAAGTCAGGGCTGGGCACAGTGGCTCACAAAAGAAGTGAAGTGAGGCCTGGCTTGGTGGTTCACGCCTATAATCCCAGCACTCTGGGAGGCGGATTACTTGAGGTCAGGAGTTCAACACGAGCCTGGCCAACATGGTGAAACCCCGTCTCTACAAAAATACAAAAATTAGCTGGGCGTTGTGGCAGGTGCCTGTAATCCCAGCTACTCAGGAGGCTGAGGCAGGAGAACCATTTGAACCCAGGAGGCGGAGGTTGCAGAGCCGAGATTGCACTATTGCACTCCAGCCTGGGCGACAGAGCGAAACTCTGTCTCAAAAAAAAAAAAAAAAAAGTCAAGTGAATTTGAGTCAGTATACTTAATAGGGCGAGCATTAGGCACTGTTGCAAATACATATTGGAATCTCTTTGACTCTGAGAAATAGTTTGAATTTATTTACCTCTTACCCCTATGTGACAGATAAGAAACTAAAAGTTATAGAAAATAGAGATGTTTGATTTTTCTAAGTTGCCCCAAACTACCATTTTTTAAAAACACCTGCAAGCATGTCTAAAACAGGAGCCTGTTAGCTACAGCTGCCAAACCGGTTTAACAGCACTGTCTCCATGTATTCTGGGGGAGAAGGAGCTCCGAGTACATAAATTTATCAAAGATCACTATCCCAATCATCTTAGGACAAGTTGTTACTAATGCACTGGAGTTTCTGTGCAAACCGTGTACCATAAACCATGAAATGATTCAAAGTTCATAGTTCCTTCTTTGTTCCTTTGTTAATCACTGACTTCTGACTAGTGGGAGGTGCCTCCCAACTTTGCTAATGCATTCTTTTTGGATAAGGATGACGCACAGATTGTCCTAATAAGGACTTAGATTGAGAAAGGACCGCCCCCTCTGAGTCGAGGGGACAAGTCAGAGAGAGGGCGGGCAGTTTCTTTTTTAACTAGGGATGACACAGGCATAAGTCATTTCCTTATTAATCGGTTCAAACCAGTTCTTACAGGAACTGGTGGTGATAAATGTGGGACTTCTCAGAAGTCATTCATTTTATTCTTTGTGCCACACCAGAGTACAGTATCAGCTGAGCTGGCCTTACTCTGAGGACTGACTCTTCTGCTGGAAACTATTCCTGATTTACAGCTCTTAGTTTCTCCCAGACATGTTGGTGGGAGAGATCTTGCTTTTTAAGGGGTTGTTAGAAGGAGTATGTATATGTTTTTTACCATAAAGAGCTCACAGAATTTCAGCAGTTCAATGATGTTTATATTTTATTCCTCTTCCTATCCAATTCCCTGCCTTTTGAGTCCAGGTGGTAAGTGCATTTTCTTTAATGTTTTTCCTGCTTTCCTTCCCCAATGTATCTTTTTCCTTGGGCTACTGTACCGTGCTCCCAGTGCTGTCCCCGGCATAGGTCCATCTCTGCAGAAGCCATTTCAGGAGTATCTGGAGGCTCAACGGCAGAAGCTTCACCACAAAAGCGAAATGGGCACACCACAGGTGAGACTTGATTCCGGTTTCTTCTTCTCCCTTCTGGGAAGTTTCAGGCTGAAATTACATTCACAGCTCTCACATTTTTAGGCAAATAAGTGAGGTTGGTTTGCCAGTGTTCCTTGACAGAAGTTGAGCTTGTGGTTCTATGTATGCTTTACTGGGAAATTTGTGTTTGTCTTAAACCAGAAAGTGTCCCCAAAACAAGGGTAGAGCCAGTGGAAAATAATGGTTCTGTTGTACAGAATGAATTGTTGCCTTAGTCTTAAATGATGTATTAGATAGACTTCCCAAGTAGATTAAAAAGTTAAAATTTACAAAGTATTAGACTTACTGAGATGATTTGAATATCTCCCTTTGTTTTCGACTCTATTTTTCTTTTCATCTGTGGGAAAATGATCATTTTTTTAATAATCCAAGGCACTTATCATAGCTAAACTGTAAAACTTAAACTAAGATTGTTGGGCCAGGCACGGTGACTCTCGCCTATAATCCCAGCACTTTGGGAGGCCAAGGCAGGTAGATCATGAGATCAGGAGTTCGAGACCAGTCTGGCCAACATAGTGAAATCCTGTCTCTACTCAAAATACAAAAATTAGCTGGTTGCAGTGGCACGCACCTGTAGTCGCAGCTACTGGGGAGGCTGAGGCAGCAAAACCGCTTGAACCCAGGAGGCCGAGGTTGCAGTGAGCCAAAACCACGCTATTGCACTCCAGCCTAGGTGACAAAATGAGACTCCGTCTCAAAAAAAAAACACAAACTAAGACTGTCTTTTCTGTAAATGATTTTGAGGCAAAGGGAATGACTAGAAGAGGATGAGTAAGCAATAACCTGAAGCGGGAAACTCCAGGGAAGCACAGGTTTTTTGTTTGTTTGAAATGGAGTTTCGCTGTTGTTGCCCATGCTGGAGTGCAATGGGGTGATCTCTTCACGGCAACCTCCACCTCCCAGGTTCAAGTGATTCTCCTCCCTCAGCCTCCCAAGTAGCTAGACAGGCATGCACCACGCCTGGGTAATTTTTTGTATTTTTAGTAGAAACGGGGTTTCACCATGTAAGCCAGGTTGGTCTTAAACTCTTAACTTCAGGTGACCAGCCCGCCTTGGCCGCCCAAAGTGCTGGGATTACAGGTTGTGATACTGCACCCCACCGGAAGCAAAGTTTTTTTTTTAAATGGCCTTGCACTTTTCGTGTGGCTCTCGGCTGCCCTCAGTCGACCAAACATAACATCAGAAACAGATAACATTTATGTTTTAAAAACAGCTCCCAGTACTGCAACAAAAATATTTAACTGTCTTGACACTACTCACACGTATCTGCATGACAACTTCAGAGTTGAGTTTAATCAAAGACTTTATGCTTAGGTCCAAGTAGAAGAGACCTCACACTCACCCCATTCTAAACTATATGATTCAGCACTGATTTTCATCCGACAAAGTGAAACCTTGATAGTTGGGTGTAAAAAGAAGAGGAATGGAGATTTTGGAATAGCTGAGGTTGCTTACTTTTCATTTTTAATTGCTTAGGCTTTGTAAGTTACATACTTCAGGTTTTCATTATTTTCCTTAAAGCATCGTAGATGATCCCCTTTTTACTACTGAACTAATGAAGCCTTTTTCATTGCATTGTTCTGCATTTATTTCAACAGGGAGAAAACTGGCTGTCCTGGATGTTTGAAAAGTTGGTAGTTGTGATGGTGTGTTACTTCATTCTATCTATCATTAACTCCATGGCACAAAGTTACGCCAAACGAATCCAGCAGCGGTTGAACTCAGAGGAGAAAACAAAATAAGCAGAGCAAGTTTTAAACTGCAGAAATTGGAGTGGATGGGTTCTGCCTTAAATTGGGAGGACTCCAAGCCAGGAAGGAAAATTCCCTTTTCCAACCTTTATCAGTTTTTAAAACTTTTTTCCTGAACGCAGTTTAGTCCATACTTTGCACTGACATACTTTTTCCTTTGTGTCCTAAGGTAAGGTATCCACCCTCAATCCAGTCCACCTTGTGTTTTCTTAGGGTGGGATGTGATGTGCAGCAGCAAACTTTGCAACAGAGACTGGCCTTCTGTTTGTTACTTTCAAAAGGCCCACAAGATACAATTAGAGAATTCCCGCCACACAGAAAAAGTTCCTAAGTATGTGAAATATGTCAGGCTTTTTAGGCGTGTCACAAATGATTGCTTTGTTTTCCTAAGTCATCAAAATGTATATAAGTTACCTAGACTGGATAACAGTCTTGCATGTTTATCATGTTTCAATTTAATATTCCATCCTGCCCAACCCTCTCCCACCCTCAAAAGAGGGCCATTTTATGATGCATTGCACACACTCTGGGGAAATTGTTCTTTAAATTTTGAGACAGTATAAGGAAAATCTGGTTGGTGTCTTACAAGTGAGCTGACACCATTTTTTATTCTGTATATTTAGAATGAAGTCTTGAAAAAACTTTATAAAGACATCTTTGATCATTCCAAAATTGTGTCCGTTTTCTTGAGCGTTTTTGATTTTTTACTTTTAGCTTATAGCAGCTGAATGGCAGTCTTGCCTAATCCACCTACATCAAGAATTTCTTAAGCCTTCATTTATTTGCATGAGACAGCCTCAAGACATGTTTTGTTATGCTGAAACTGGGCTGCTACATACTGCTAAAGTGGTATCTCTGGAATCAGCCTACCTGGGGATTTCTTGGTTTGTGAACACAGGAGAGGAGAGACACCTCATACACATGAGAAAGGATACTGAAGAGAAAAATTACGCATTTCTTTAAAAAAAAAAAAATGCACGCTCTGTCATATCTGTGTTTTCTAGCATGTACTCTGGTTTCAACAGACACAAATGTATATGTAACCCAGTTTTCTTGCCTTTCTGTAAGTGTTTTATTCTTAATGTGATTTTTTTTTTTCCGTTGAGATGTTTTTGATTGAACTTGTTTATTTTGTTTTGCTTGGGAGGAAAATAAACAATTTTATTTTTTTTCTTTAGGAAAATTGATATTGAGCATTGTGTCAGAATAGAATAGAATTGGGGTTTGATCTCAACAGGCCAGAAATGCCTTTTTTTTTTTTTTTTTTAAATCCTGCCTGAATGTCTGCTTGTTTTGCCTACCATCATCGTGACATCTCCATGGCTGTACCACCTTGTCAGGTAGCTTATCAGACTGATGTTGACTGTTGAATCTCATGGCAACAGCAGTCGATGGGCTGTCTGACATTTTGGTATCTTTCATCTGACCATCCATATCCAGTGTTCTCATTCAAACATTACTGCATCATGGTTTATGATCAGAAACTCTGGTCCATCTGTCTAGTGGCACTTTGAGTCTTTCATGCTATAAATGCAGCATATGGAGGGAGGATTTTATGGGGAAATGCGTTTCAGAACTCTTTCACCTGTATTTATTTGGTGTTTGAAGAAAGGAAAGAGGAAAGCAAATACGAATTGTACTATTTGTACCAAATCTTTGGGATTCATTGACAAATTCATTTCAGGGTGGTGTATTATTAAAAAGAAACAAACAACCTTGTTTCCTAAGCTGAAGGTCTAGTTGATACATCTGATTGTGATGACTGTTTATGCACTATCTTTCAAATGAATTTGCTTTCAAAAAAATGAAGAGCAGCTTTCCTTCTTTCCTCTTTTAAGTGTTCAGGTGTGGCATGCCCAGAGGTTCCTGCTGGATTCCATCTGGAGTGGTGTGGTGCCCTTCTTTTTCAGCTGCTCGCGTCTTCCTTTCTTGTATCTACCAAAGTGGAGACAACTACATGAACCCAAAGATACACAGTACCTACTGAATTCCAACTGACAGAGACCAGAGAGTTTGCAAGTGGATGGTTTGTTATCACTGTAAATAAAAAGAGGGCCTCGGAATTCTTGCCATTCTATCTCTACTTTGTATCTCTCTCTCATTTTGTGCCTTACATATCTGCAGTGTTTTATCATTTTCCAACTTGGTGACTGTCAAGCAATGTAATACATCAGCAGTTTATACACCGAAGAGCTGAGGAACAGCTCCCTTTAAACAGAAAATGTTGGCCAGGCACAGTGGCTCACGCCTGTAATCTCAACACTTTAGTAGGCCAAGGCGGGTAGATCACCTGAGGTCAGGAGTTTGAGACCAGCATGGCCAACATGGTGAAACCCCCTCTCTACTAAAAACACAAAAAAATTAGCTGGGCATGGTGGTATGCGCCTGTAGTCCCAGCTACTCGAGAGGCTAAGGCAAGAGAATCTTGCTTGAACCCTGGAGATGGAGGTTGCAGTGAGCCAAGATTGCATCATTGCACTCCAGCCTGGGCGACAGAGCAAGACTCCATCCCCCCGAAAAAAAAAGACAGTGTCTGAAATGTGCAATGTCCAGTTTTCCCATAGTTTTCTGTATTCTCTGTGTATGAGTAATCTGGAGTATGAGTCTAGGAAGGAAGGTTTTTAGTTTCATTCACATAGTGGCCACCTCTCCATTCCCTATGAATGCTAGCATGAGACTTCTTAAATGCACTAATTATTGAAACATGCAGTATTGAGTGCGCCTGCACAAACAAGCTCAGCCTCTGTCGCCAGTGTGCTCTGTGCTATCTATAGCCTTAGTAGGACAGCATGAGTCTCTTTTGTCATTTCACCAGTCATTCAACAGTGACTCATTTGAGTACCTATTATGCACTAGTTGTGCTCATATACCAAGATGCATTGTTTAGCCTGAACCATGTGTAAGAAGCTCATAGAGATGCCCAACCTTTTAGTGTCAAAAAGCCTTTCCATATATTATTTTGAAACCCATTTTCCCCCATGTGTAATAGTCTCTGTTAATGAAGGTTTGGGTTTCTCCCACATTGTGATCTGCGAAAGTTTAAAAGAGCCTAGGTTTCTTTCATCTATTAATAGAAGAGATAGAAGGACAGTTTGTCGAAAGAATAAATCTGTTGGCTGGGCATGGTGGCTCACGCCTGTAATCCTAGCACTCTGGGAGGCCAAGGTGGGTGGATCACCTGAGGTCGGGAGTTCAAGACCAGCCTGACCAACATGGTGAAACCCTGTCTTTAAAAATAAATAAATAACAGCCGGGCGCAGTGGCTCAAGCCTGTAATCCCAGCACTTTGGGAGGCCGAGGTGGGTGGATCACGAGGTCAAGAGATCGAGACCATCCTGGTCAACATGGTGAAACCCCGTCTCTACTAAAAATACAAAAAATTAGCTGGGCATGGTGGCACGTGCCTGTAATCCCAGCTACTAAGGAGGCTGAGGCAGGAGAATTGCCTGAACCCAGGAGGCGGAGGTTGCGGTGAGCCGAGATCGCGCCATTGCACTCCAACCTGGGTAACATAAGTGAAACTCCGTCTCAAAAAAAAAAAAAAAAAAAAAAAAAAACGAGACCATCCTGGTCAACATGGTGAAACCCCGTCTCTACTAAAAATACAAAAAATTAGCTGGGCATGGTGGCACGTGCCTGTAATCCCAGCTACTAAGGAGGCTGAGGCAGGAGAATTGCCTGAACCCAGGAGGCGGAGGTTGCGGTGAGCCGAGATCGCGCCATTGCACTCCAACCTGGGTAACATAAGTGAAACTCCGTCTCAAAAAAAAAAAAAAAAAAAAAGAGATCGAGACCATCCTGGTCAACATGGTGAAACCCCGTCTCTACTAAAAATACAAAAAATTAGCTGGGCATGGTGGCACGTGCCTGTAATCCCAGCTACTAAGGAGGCTGAGGCAGGAGAATTGCCTGAACCCAGGAGGCGGAGGTTGCGGTGAGCCGAGATCGCGCCATTGCACACCAGCCTGGGTAACAAGAGCGAAACTCCGTCTCAAAAAAAAAAATAAATAAATAAATAACAAAAAAAGAATAAATGTGTTAACATATAAAGTACTGAAATATAGGCTGGGTGCGGTGGTTCACACTTAGAATCCCAATACTTTGGGAGGCCAAGGCAGGAGGATTCCTTGAGCCCAGGAGTTCAATACCATCCTGGGCAATATAGGAAGAGCCCTGGCTACAAGAAAATAAAAAGTACAGCAATAAAAGTTACTTCCTTTTTTGGGGGGGGATGGGTATTCACCATGTCACCCAGGCCAGAGTGCAGTGGCACAGTCATGGCTCTCTGCAGCCTTGATCTCCCAGGCTCAATATTTTGCCCAGGCCAGTCTTTAACTCCTAGGCTCAAGCGATCCTGCCTTGGCCTGCCAGAGTGCTGGGATTACAGGCATGAGCCACCATGCTAGGTATTCCCATTCAAAGACAGGCCAGGCACAGTGGCTCACACCCGTAATCCCAACATTTTGGGAGGCTGAGGTGAGCAGATCACCTGAAGTCAGGAGTTTGTGACCAGCATGGTGAAACCCCATCTCTACTAAAAATACAAAAATTAGCTAGGCTTGGTGGCACATGCCTGCTGCTTAGGCAACAGGCAGAAGAATCACTTGAACCCAAGAAGTAGATTGCACCACTGCACTCCAGCCTGGGCAACAGAGCAAGGCTCTGTCTCACAAAAAAAGAAAAAAACTGAGCATCTGATATACATGGAAGAATTTCACAACATTGCATTCACTCCTCCAGAAACAAAGATATATTTTAAAATGCTTTCTTAGCATATGTGCCCTTGTTTTGTAGTAGATACTCTGTCAAACTTTTGATAAGTGAAAAAAAGTTGTGCTAAAGAAGTTAAAACCAAGCCAGGCGTGGTGGCTCACGCCTGTAATCCAAGCACTTTGGAGGCCAAGGTGGGCAGATCACCTGAGGTCAGGAGTTCAAGACCAGCCTGACAAACATGGTGAAACCCCGTCTTTTAAAAAAATAAGTAAATAAAATTTTAAAAAAAAGAAAACCAAAAAGTTTTTTAACTTTCCCATCTGAAAATATTGACATTTTCTAATTTATTTTCATTATAAAGAATATTGATCATCACAGTTGCTCATTCCTATAATCCTAGCACTTTGAGAGGCCAAGGCAGGGAAATCACTCCTGAGCCCAGGAGTTCAAGACCAGCCTGGACAATATAATGAAACCTCTCTACAAAATATTTAAAAGCCAAGCATGACGGCGTGTGCCTGTAGTTCCAGGCTGAGGTGGGAGGATCACCTGAGCCCAGGGAAGTTGAGACTATAGTGAGCCGTGATTGTGTCACTGCACTCCAGCCTGGGTGACACAATTAGACCCCGTCTCAATATATATATATATATATATATATATATATATATATATAAATACCAAAAAATCTGGAAAGCAAAGAGGAAAAAAGGGAGTATCGACCTTTCATACTTGTTGCAAGAAGGTCAGTCTAGAAAATCCAGTGAGATTTGCTGGGTAAATAGGTTTTAAACCATGAAAAAGCTGGGCGAGATGGCTCACACCTGTAATCCCAGCACTTTGGGAGGCCGAGGTGGGCAGATCACCTGAGGTCAGGAGTTTCAGACCAGCCTGGCCAACATGGTGAAACCCTGTCTTTATTAATATATATATATAGAGAGAGAGTAATAAAACATGAAAAAGTTTTAATGGCACGCAATATCTTCCCCTCAATAGACCAGAGAGTCTCATGTCTGTTAAAAAAAAAAAAAAATCAGCCGGGCGCGGTGGCTCAAGCC